ACAGAAGTTACAGGGCCAGGGTGAAGCTAGATGAGACACTGTATGAAAAGCATACAAGGAAGGGCTTAGACACTCAGCTACTGGAATTAATGCTGATGATAGCAACACACAAATAGCAGAACGAGGTTCTGAGTCCAGGCCGTGCACTCCACCGTCCTGGGCACGAATGGCTGGCCTCTGCCTGCAGGGGGTGGTGGTGTTGGATTTGCTAAGGAAGCCTGCCCCAGCCTAGTCAGGCCTCTCCTGTTCCTAGAGCCGGGTCCACCCAGGGAGGGACCCAAGAGCAGTCCTGGCTACAGGCAGGCTAACCCCTCACCGAGCCCCTCTCTGCCCTCAGACACACCTGCTGGCTCCCTGACAACCTCCTGACCTGTGCAGCATTCCTTCAAGCTGTGCTGTCCAGTCCAGCAGACCTTTCCAGAGCACACACCTTACGTGTCAGGGAAGAAGAGACAAGGATGAATCTGAGCCTGCTCCTGCTTTTAAAGAAATCACGGGCAGACTGAGACAGAACTATAGAGCCGTGTGATAGGGGCACCAGAGGTGGAATAAACACAGTGCTGGGGAGGCCAGAGCCGGGAGCCACCATCTGCCCTGGGGTAAGAGTGTGCTGGGGATAGGGAACACCAGGACAGGCTCACCCAGAAGGTTTCCGGGTGGCAGGCGGAGTGGTGAGCAGGGGCATGGGACAGCGTAAGTCTGGCTGGTGGAGGTGTGGGGAGCACCAGAGGGCCAGGCCACGGAGGCCCCACATGCCCCACCAGCCAGCCAGGGCCTGCAGCACCATGAGCCCTCTAGTCTAGAGAGGTATCCCGTTCCTCCAGCCCACGGATGTTCGGATCTTCATTAGTTCCTGGGGCCTGCTTTCTCATGCTCCTCTCTGCCTCATGCTTTAAACTTAGAGGCCTCCTTGGTTTAAGTGCACAAGAATCCAAGCTCCAAACCCAACAATTTCCCTCTTTCTCACAAAACATCGCATGTTTGGGTGGGTGTTGAAACTCTGAGAGGGGCCCCCACCCAACAGGTCAGGTGTCCCACGGGCTCCTCTTTCACCCTCTCTCTCATCCTCCACCATCTCAGCGGGACAACCACAGTCAGACCCTCAGAGTCTCCCACTCTGCCTAAGCAATCACCACAGCATTTCTCCAACACAGGTAGCTCCTTGCCTCATGGCAGCACCCCAGAACCACAGAAAGCCAGTTCCAAAGAGGAGCACTTCATCATTTCCCCGAGGCCCTTTCCCACTTCCTCAGGGCCACGTCCTAGGTCCCAGGGTTCTTACAACACTCCTCCTTCCTTCTCGGAGTGTGAGAACAAGTCCTAAGGTACTGTTAAAGAACAGCAACAGCCGCAGTAATAATAGCAAGTACAAGCTGCCGGAGCCCCCTTCCTGCAGGGCACAGGGTATCAGGCAGGGACACACAGTGCCTCATTGATCTTTGCCACAAACTGGTGAGACAAGTGTAACCCATTCTGAAAATGAATGAAGCGAGGTTCAGGAATGTTTCCACTACTTACCCAAAGTCAGTGGACCTGTAAGTGGTGGAAGTGGGATGCAGAACCCACCCCTGTGGTCCCCACCCGTCCCCACCCCAGGGTCCCTCAGGCCGGTTCCACCTCCCCTGGCCCGCCTCTCCAAGGAGCAGATGCCGGAGGTTCAGCTCCACTGACTGCAGAGCATCACAAGCCAGCCTGGGAGCCAGCCTCTTCCACAATCTAGCCCAAAACCAGAGTCAACAAGTACAACTCAACAAGATAAATCAAAATGATTCGTGCAAAGAGCAAATGTCCAGAGAATGGCAAGAATCACCTGGAATGTGCGGCTGCCCAGCCTCCCAGCACTCACTTGGGCTCTCGGGGCTGGCCCTCCTGGCAGGTGCAGAGACACCAGGCGCTAAGTGGAAGCAGGACAGCTCCCGCTCCCTTCTCCCCACCCTGCTGGGTTTGCCATGTTCCTGTCTGCACATCCTGGGGATCCCTGCTGCCACAGCAAACCGCATGTGGTGTTTCTGACAGCTTCCTGCTGAGTGACAGGAAGCCTAGAGAGAGTGACGCTTAAGTACAGGATAGGGCAGACAGAACAGCCTCTTCCTGCTTCTGTCCTGCCTCAGGGGTGGGGAAGGTCAGAAACCCATGGGCTTCAGACACCAACCCCCCAACAAGACCCCTGAGAGAAATGTCACTGAGTGGGACAATCAGCAAAAGCAAGACTCTCTGACACAGGACAAGTGTCAAGGGCACCGGCAGCTGCAAGAGCTCAGGGCTGGGAATCTCTCGGCCATGACTGTGAACTCCAGACCCTGTCCTCAGCCCTACCCAGTCAGGGCTGGCACCCGCAGGCTGGCCTCGGAAGCTTTCAGGAGTTAGGTCATCTGCAGAGGCTTTCCTCGGAAGGGGAGGACATGCCTTAGGGGGCAGTCAGCCCCAGACGACAGCAAATGTAGCAGCAGTATTCCAGAGATGTCCCCAAGAGCCTCGTCCCTGGTTATCCCATCAAATACTAATCCAGGTTCTGTTCTGAAGAAACTGTGCAGATTCAATCAAGGTTATGAATCAGCTGACCTTAAAATAGAGGGATTATCCTGGATTACTTGGTGAGCCCAGTGTGATCCCCTGAGTCCTTAGCAGCAGAAGAGGAAGGTAGGAGAGTGGGCTGGAGTGACGTGACAGAGAGGGAGGCAGGGGGCAGATGAGGCGGAAGGCAGCAAAGATTCACAGGGCAAGGACTCGACCGCCATACCCAGATCTGAATACAGACGGTGAGGCCACAAGGCAAGGGATGTGGGCATCCCGAGAAGCTGGGAACGACCCTGCCAATGGCCAGCAAGCACACAGGACCTGGGACCTACAGAGCAGGGAGCTGCAGCCTGCCAGCCCCGACTGAGCTTGGGAACGGGTGCACCCCCAGAGCCACTGGGGAGAAACGCAGCCCCACTAGCACCTGGGGGAAGGCCCTGGGAAGTGGTAGGCAGAGCACCTGCTGAGCCCCATGCACCCAGCATGAGATGGCCAATGAGTGTTGTTTTAAATCACTAAATGTGTTTCTATTGCTAGGGCAGCGATAGAAAAACCAATACGAAGCATTGCCATTGTGCTCCTCTTACCAAAACAAGGAAAAGAACCAATCAGTGGGAATCCAGCATGTCATCCAACCTTTCCTCTTCCGTCAGGAAGGTAGGAAGGAACAGCTGGGACTTGGTATCTGTTAAACACACACCCTTCATATCAGTTTCTCACCCTAGACACTGTAGTGTGTTTAGCAATATCCTGGCCTCTGCCCACTAGATACTAGTACTTCCCCTTTGCCCCAGTCATGACAGCTAAACATGTCTCCAGACATTAGCAAATGTCCCCTGGGGGTAAAGTTGCCCCCAAGTGAGAGTCACTGCTTTATATAACCCTTTAAGGGTATAATAAGGCAAAGGAAAGTTTTTATAGAAAGAAAGAATTGATCATTTAGCTGCTTTTCCAGTGGACTAGGTATTTAGTAAATATCCATTTACCTGTATGAGTATGTTAATATACTGATACATCCCAACTTACCAGCTGTTAGTCCTCAGCAGCTGGATATTATGGATATATGTGTGTTGTATATACATCTTAATATCCATTTTTTAAAATTTCACACAATAGACATGCATTACTTCCATAATCAAAATGAAGTGAATGTGAATTTATCAAATGTTCATTTGTTGGGTAATTCTGGAAAGAGCAAATCCCAGCTCACCGTCCTCCAAGCATCTCTGCAAGGCGCCTGCTTCAGGAAGGGCCATGCTTCAGTTTCTGCCACTTGCTCTTGCCCACCCCAGGCTTTCTGAGCTCATCACCTGCTCTTGGAAGTCCAGGTCACTCCCTCAGTGGGCCTTGGTTTCAATCCACTGTCATCCTGGAGGGGCCAGACCCACCCCAGCTCTCCTGCACTTGTCTCTCTCTAGTCCTCCATGGCTCGCCACTCCCTACCCCCATCCCTGCTGCTCCCCTGTTTTGCTGGGGCATCTCCTTCACTTGCATCCAACTGAAAAACCTGTTCACCTGAGAGACCCAAGGTCCACCAGCCCCTAAACCACTCAACCTTTGGAAAGGGAAGAGAATTAGTCTTTAACGAGCACCTCACACGTTCCTGGTTCTGAATTATCAGACCCCTTTACTTCCATATCCCAGTTAAGCCTGACTATATTGTTAGGAAATGGTGGCCATCAGCTCTATATTAAAGATAAGAAAACCGAGGCTCATGAAGGTTGGGGAATATACTGTTTAGTATGTGGCCAAGTTGGGATTTGGACCCAGATCAGTTTTACTCTAAGATATGGGCTTCATCTTTCATGCCATTCTTAGACTTGAGTAACAGGGCCCTACTCTGGGCTCCATACTTTAGGGAGGCACCGCTGTCCCTCCCCCGGCCATGCCAAGAGGACATGCACACTGAGTGCCTGGGCTTCTCCAACTCAGCTCCAGGCATGCAGGACCCTGGATTTCTCACTATCTGGCCCCTAGCCTGTCTGCTGGACCTGTGCACAGTTCAGCTCCATGGCCACCCTTTTGAGGACTGACAATGCCACAAGTGTTTCTACCCTTAGGCCTGAATATTAGCTGAGGGAGGCCAAGGTGTGGGGACAACTGGGACATATGTATTGGAATGCTCAAACGTGTACGCAGGGCCCCTCAGGTGGTCAGGCTACAAGAAGGTCAAGAATTCTCAACTTGAAACTGGCCTCTCAGATTGTTATGAAGGTCAAGGTAGTAAGTTAGAGCAAATTTCATTCAACAGTTTGTTAGCTTCTGCTACACCTTTTAAATGTTTCGATGCAGGGCATGTAGACTCCCATTTGCACCCTGGCCCTGGTCCTGGCCCAGGATCGGGGAGCCTGATCCTTTCGCTCACCAATTATTTAGTTGACAGTTTTTATAGCCAAAGGAGATCTTACTCCCCACGTCAGTGAAACAAGCGTGGTTCCCTTCTGTCTGAAATCTTAAAGAATAACCGTGATGGGGTATATTACCTTTTCTTGATCAAGAAGCTCTTGTAAAATAACTTGTCTTTCCCGACACAGTTCCAAGAAATCTTCTGAGTGCAGACTTTCGTGTAAGGCAGGGAAGAACGTCAGCTGGGTGCAGTCCACCGCCACCTTGTCCAGCTCGCCCTCAGCCTCCTTTGGTGTCCGCTCACCTGCAGCAGCACAAAGGGACACTGGTTTTGGCATGAGCCACCCGACATCACAAGGGATGGCCACAGCATGTGCCTCATCACTAAGAAGAACTGCAGGGTTTCAGGGTGGCGGAGGACAGTGTGGATCTCCTAGTGTGCCCTTCCTTGCTTCTGAGGGTGGCCACCACCGCCTGAGCCTGCGGAGTGTCCATCACACCTTCCGGTTGTTGCACCCAGAGGGCCCAGGCGCACCAGGCCTGTTCCTCTGCAGCTCTCAAGTGACCAAAGGGCAACCTTTCAAAACTTGCCCTCATTAATCAGTAAAGCAACTCCTTAGAGGCTCACCCAGGATCTGCTTTTTCTGAAGTTCTCCTTGTTCACAATTTTAAAAGAGTGTTTTGTTTTGTTTTGTAATTACAGAAGGAATATCTTCTCATTGTAAAAAACTTTGAAAAGCATAAGACAAATATCACCCATGCACCCAGAGACTGTGAGATAACAGCTCCCATTTAGTAAGCACTCTCCGTGCCAGACACTTCTGATGCCATCCTTCCATCTAGTCCTGCCTGGGTTGTAGATACTGTTTTATCCTCACTTTACAACGGGAAAATGGAAAGGGGCTTCATTTTGCCCAAGATCATATGGTGCAGTGGATTGAATTGTGTCCCCCCAAAACTCTCTGCAGCTTGAACTGTGTCCCCCAAGTTTTATGTATTAGAAACTTGGTCTCCACTGTGACTGTTGAGAGGGTAGAAAATCTTATTATGGTGATTGAAGGTGGAGCCTTGAAGAGGCAATTGGCTTGTAGGACCCTGCAGTAGTGAATGGATTAAAAATGGTGGTCAGGGGTGTGGTTCTGAGGAATTTAAAGAAGAGAGTCTGTCTGACTCTCTCTGCCCTCTCTGCTGTGCCATTTTCACAATGTGATGCCCTGCCAGTACTGTCACCACCACTAAGACCTTCACCAGGTGTGTTCCCTGGACTTTAGACCTCCCAGCCTCAGAAACTGTAAGCAATAAATTTAGTTTTTCTTTATAAATCACCCAGTTACAGGTATTTCATTATAAGCAACAGAAATGGACTAAAACACATGACTACTAAGAACTAGAGGCAGAATCTGAACAAAGTCCCTCTGAGTCTGGGATCTGTTCTCTTAATCTCTAGGCTGTTTGGCTGTTTACGATTTGGTTGATTTACTTCCATTATCTTTCCTATACATATATGTAGATGCATACACCCGTAATTTTTTGACATGATAAGAATGACACTGTGTTTACAGTTTTTCTTCTCTAATATTTTGTTTCATTCAAGATTACATCATGAGCACTTTCCAATTCCATTTAAAGTTTTTGAACAATTTAAATGGCTGTGAAATATTCTGTTATGTGGCCATTTCATAATCAACTAACCCATCTCCTACTTTTTAGAGATAAGGACGGTTTCTGTGTCTGCACTAACACGCAAGCCCTGTACTGCAATCATTCGTGTGCACATCACGTTTTCTAAAGGATACACTCCTGGGCAGGGACATTTGGGGTCAAGCTAAGCATGTAACTGTGGGTTTCTGGACCCTTCCCTTCCACCAACGTCTTGAGCACCCACCTGCCTGAAGCAGGCACATCATGAGTGCAAAGCCCTGTGCCATTTTCTCTGTGCCAGGAGGCTCACCTCTTTGATCTCCTTCTCACCTGGGAGTCTCACATCTGGATGAGCGAAAGTGTCTGCTGCTCACAGTGACAGCCATCATAAGCTTTCCCCCATGCAGGGAAAACATTCCTGTAGGAACAGGCACCTGGGAAGGCACAGCGGAGAGCCACAGGCCCTTTCTCCTCCCTTGGCTGAGCTCCACACTCAGGGTTCATGCTGGCAGCACCAAGGAGCCTCCAGGCCATAGATGCCAGGGGCTCTGCATGTCTGGGATGAGGGGAAACAGCAGCCCATGGCCAAGTCCACATAAAATCAGGCATGCTTTCCACCACTGCACTCTCTGCAAGCCTGCCTCTGAGAGGCAGAGCAGGCAGACACTCACTCTGATGCTAGTGCTGTAGGGCTTGGCGTGGAGAGAAGAGAGGCAGACGGTTACTACAATGTCAGCCCAAGTCCACAGTGGGACCCCCAAATCGCCATAGGATGTGAGTGCAAGATCCTCACTTCTGGGCTTGCGTTACTGCGGTCTGGCAAGGGAGCAAGCTCAGTGTGAAGACCATTACTCAGGCAGTAAATGAGACAAGCTTGATCAACACTAAGACGCTATCACTGGGCTGAAGGGAGGACACGGCTGCAGCTGAGGGTATCAGGAAACTCACAGACAGGGAGTGTTCAAACCAAGACAGGGTCTTTGGAGAAAACACAGAAAATTTGAATTTGCGTGTGCATGTGCCAGTGTGTCTGTGTGTGCATTTGGATGTGTTCATGCCAAAATGACCTCTAAAAATAAATCCTAAATTTTTAGCAAATCGACTCAACCAAATTCTTCCATGAGAATTACACAGATAAAGAATCAGCATTAACATAAAAAATGACTCCAAGCACTTTCTTCAAATTTGGGAAATAATAATGACTTGTATCTATCATTTTCATAAGCAGAGTTCAGTGTAAAAAGTATTAAATATTTATTCCATGCTTTTTTACTCTAAGACATTTTATTTTCCTCCCATGTTTTTTCTGTCACTCACTGAACACGTGTTTGAGTTGTCTGGGAACACTTCTAAGATCACTCTAACATAGCAAATTGACAGGACAGTTCGCTCCCAAAAGTCTTATTATTGCAACCTTATTACAAAATTCTTCCTCTAACAGAGTATCTAGGTCTGGAATAGATTCCTTTTTTATCCTGGAAACACAGTAATGAAAAGAACCTTAGTGCTGCCTACTCTAGCCCTGCAGCATTTTTCTTCCAAGATAACCATTTAATAACTTTAATAAGATATTGAATAAAACCAATAATTGGTTTAATTATTAAAGAAAAATAGATAAGTTAATCAACTAAATACCTTGGTTTTCTGCATTTGTTTGAGAAATATCAACATTTTTGTCTTGACTTTCCTAAAATAAGAACAGAGAAAAGAGAAATTGAATCCTGGATGCTGCATATACGTCCCTCCCCCACCAATCTACAGATTCACAAACACACAGGCATATATGCAACCCCTTCAAATTACTTAAGACTCAGATGGAAGGGGAGAGAAATGCTAAATCCTAAAGGACCGCAATAAAATGCAAGTATTAATGTTCCTGAGTCAAAGGGGAAAAAACCCACAATCTTCCATTAAGTAGGATTTACAGTAATGACCAAAGGTGATGCCAAGATGGAATTAAATAGCATCCTGGATGTCTGTGTGTGGGCTACCCTGGAGAGGGGACAGGAGAGGATCTGGGGCTGGACCACACTAGAGACCAGAGACCAGAATTCATAGCCAGCCTTTGGCTTTGTCACCAGCAAGTGAGCAGGCTGCTTATTTCCTGTCTCTCATTCCTAAGACATATATTGAGGGAAAAATACCAGATGTTTATTGACACTACTTAAAAAATACAAGTGTCCATGGAATAAAAGAAATATATTTTTTCATTAGGTTTTATATAGGATTTTTAGCATGGATGAAAGATGCTGGGGTTATAGATTAGAAAAGAAACTCAACATTGTAACTTGGAAATATCCAGCATTCCAGTATTTGATAGGCTGCCTTTTAGAATATTTTAAATGATGATTGTTCAATGAGGACACAAAAATCTATTAAAAGATTTTTCTATACCCAGTACCAAATGAACTCAATTGGCTTACTGTCCTTTAAGAAGCAAAATGTGAATCTGATGACCCAGTTCAAGCTTCCTTAGAGCATCGCCAGGGACTACCCAGATTGTTGCTTGGGAGGCCAGTACAGCTTTAACATTGTTTGGAATGAGTGGGTCAGGGGCTTGAGCTTGCAGGAATAGCTGAGTTCAAGAGATTTTCACTATAAAACTGTTATGGGATTTGCTTGTGCAATAATGCCCCTAGCAGTGCAGGTTGTGACTGCTCAATGACAAAGCTCTCGTGCAAACAGACAATGGCTGTCACCTGGCTCTTTCCAAACACCAGCATCCACATATGCACCACTCACCCATTCATTCATTCACCACTTATGCATTTAGGCTGTAGTTATAGCATCCCTTCTATGTACCTTGGAGGGTCAGTGACTCTTTTCTTCTGCTAAATGACATCAAGAATAAACTATGGGACTCCTCCTACATTTAACTGCATACATTACCTCCTCTGCCTGATTAGATGAGAAAAAGAGCCACTTAACTACGCAGGTCCTGCCTGGAACCATCACTGTCCTGCTGCAACTAAGTCCTACCTTGAGCCTTCCTGGGTGCAGGGCCTCTTGTGGGGACAAGCGTCTGATGCGTTTCCTCATGCGAGCTGGTCCCTCTCTCCAGTCGAGTTCCCACTTGGAGCAGGGCGTGACTTCTGTCATTCGGCCCCACAAACCCAGCTCTCCAAAAAGCTGCTCCTGGATCCTGGCCCAGGCTTTGGCTGCCTTGATGTTGCTGCATCTCTGCCTCTGGGAAGCAGAGACACAGTGTCACCCTGGGACACGCTGCTCACAGGCTTGGCTCAAACCGAGTCATCAAAACTGTTTGAGAAAGATGCCCCTCCAGGTAGCCCCAGCACCTTCAAGATGTGCAGTGAACTCTCTGGAGCACGGCCAGGCCAGGAGAAGGAGACCATTTCTCAGCTCTGAGACTACTTGATCCCAGTTGGGGAAGGAGAAAACTGGTCACCCTTTGGCCTTCAGAGCCACAAGACTGCTGGGTGCTGGGCATAGAGCGACAGGTCCCCAAAGTCCTGAAGCCAATCATCAGAATGGATTGACAGCTATTTAATAAAATGGACACAAAATTTCACCACCGCCCCTACCCTTCAAAAATCATGCTGAACATACTTCTCCCAGGCGCCTGGACTAGAGCAAGTCATTTCTGTCTCTGGACTTGGAAACCTCCAGCTATTAAATGAGAGGCTTGGCCTGGCTGATGTCTAAGGGCCTTTCAAATCCTACTATCATATGACTCCAGAATGTTCAAGAATTCTAGAATGCTCACAAGACTTAAACCTTTCATATTAATGAGAATAATCTATGAAATCCTCATGGCTTGCATTGTGGTCTTTGACGGTCACTCCTTCTACTACAGCATGGCTCAAGCCTTTCTAAACAACACATCAACACACTGAACTGGCTTTGTAGGCCTCAGTGAAGTTCATGTATCACCTGTCAAACATTTTAGTCCAGCGTGGACAGTAGAATCAACTTTGTCTGCAGAGTTAACTTTTGCAATTATTCAAGATTTGATGGTATTTGCCATAAACTGTAATTTTAATTTTTCAGAAAACAGAAAGGCGAACATGCTAATGACAAGAAGCTTAGGCCTCAAAAAACTTAATAGAAATAGCAAAGAAGCTCATGATTGTGTGCCCCTCACCTGCTCCATTTCTTCTACCCAGTGGCACCATCAGGAAATACTTCTACGATCCCCATGAAGACGCTGAGTCTGGAGAGGAGAAGCGACTTCTCCAACGACCAGCAGGTGGCCGAGCTGAGACTTAAACCCAGTCTGTTGGATTCACTTGAGCCCCCAAGCTAGATTCCTTTGCTGGGGTCCTATTAACATTTCATGAGCTCATGGTTTCTACTGGCATTACTTCAAGGACTTTTGAATCTAGGCCCTGCAAATCTGGGCCATTCTGAATGAATAAATCATTCTCATCGTCGTAGGCATTCCCGTGAGAACATGGCTAGGGGGACAGTGCCCAGCACATGGACTTTGGCATCCAAGGAACCTGAGTCACCATGTTTCTGCTTTTCACTAGAAGTTTAATCTGAAGGAGCTTCAGCTTCCTCATCAGTCAGATATGGTTAATAAGATTACCACAATAATATAACCAGGGGTTTATGGAAGGATTAAAGGAGACAATATTTTCAAGAGTTTAATTTGGTATTTTTCCCAGCATCAGCAGTCAGTGCTGTTATTGTGAATAAAGCTAATCTTATTTCAAAACAAGATTATTTTGTTTCTCTATTGTTCTTAAGTTCAGATCCAAAACATTTACAGCATTTTATATAGTACTCCAATTGGTTAATAAGGAATCCCAGAAAAATAATGACCATCCACAGCTTTTTACAGAGATTTGGTGTGAAATGAACACTGATTTGGGGGAATCGTTCACTTCCCTGGAGTCTGTCACTGTTTGTAGTAACATTGAGCTTAATGGAGGATGAACAACCCCAAGCTCTTGGGTTGTCCAGCTGGGCTCTAAATTAGGCTTTTAAGAGCATCCTCTCCACCCCAACCTGAGTCTACATCACAGGGCACCTGTATTGTCTCGAATAATCTGCAGCCAGACATACAGATGTCAGTGGTGAGCTCCCTGAGAGATGAGTGATAGTTTAGTCCATGACGGCAAGTTACTTGGGGCCCCAGGACAGACGAGTAAGACTAAATAGCAAAAACCCTGAGTCCCTGTCCCTACAAGGGCTCGCTGAAATGTCTGTGTTTCTGCATGGTATAAGGTCCTCTTTCAGTTCAAATCATGAGTGGGCCAAATGCCACACACCCTAAGGCTAAGAGGCAGGGATCCTGTTATGTTGGGGCCAGCTATGAGTTTTGACTGAACAGCACCTTGGATAGCAACACAGACTTCCCTTCGCATGGTCAGCCCTTTCCTGCTTTTAGTCCCCGCAGCTTCCATGACCACCACCCTTTCAGGGGGGCCTCACTGGGTGCGCCTGGAGAAGCTGTCCTTGAAGAATGAAGCAAATTTCACAAACCTGATTTGGGTTCAGTGTTGGGACTTGACTTTTCTGGAAGTGGCATGGGGCCTGTGTTGGAAAGGTGTACTGCTCCTTAAAAAGTGGGGTGAGTTATTTGTAGCAGGTGATTACACCCACATTCTTTTAAACATGAAAACAATCTGTCTTAAATGTTTAAACACTTGAAAAGTATCCTCATGGATTCATCAAACAATGCAGATTTTCTAGAAAATACCTCAATCAATGATAAAACTCTGCACAACTTTCTCTGAATTCCAGTCAGACCCCACAGCTAAAACTGAGCCTGGCTGACATTACAGGAAGGTAGATCCCTTCCTTCTGGGCTTGGAGCCTCTGCCAAGGTCACATCCTTCCCATGTGAACCTGTAATCTTGCAGATTCTGCAGAAATTCGCAGAGTACCATACAGCACATCTTTCCCAGCCATAATCAAATCTTCCAGGCTCTTCCAGCCATGAGAACAGAAATGGTCACATTTTTGACCAGATACTGATTTGGAAGGTTAGATAAATGAGTACAGTATGATGAAGATGTTCATAAATGAAGGAGGCAACTCTAAGCAATTCATGTTAGTTTCTGCCCAACAGCTACTGAAGTTATTAGACACTCTGCTAGTCCTGAATAAAATCAGTGAATCCATGAGGAGTGGGCATTGAGGTGCAGGGGTCTGATAGTGGGCACAGATAACACCCAAATAAGCCAGCAAGGCACCCTCCCCAGCTGAGCACTGCAGTCCACAGTGTTGGGCTGGGGTAAGTGCCCATGCAAAACCCTTGTCCAAATTTGAGTCTGTGAAAGAGTGGCTGGTACAGGTGGAGAAACCAGGCATGCCTGCTGATCACTTTGACAGTGGCCAAGGGGATGTCATACACCCCCACCTCTCTCACACCTGGCACATCTGGTCAACTCCCCTCACCTTATTCAGGAGAGCCTGGGAGGCTATGCTGCTAGAATGTTTCTGGTGTGCAGGCTGCCTGTCTCATAAACCCCTCTTCCCAGAGGCATGTCATGGCTCCCAAGTGAAAGTACATGGGGCAGTTAGACCAGGTGACTTGGCTTCTGCTCATCGGTGCGTTTTCTGGTTCCTAGAACTTGGTACCATATTTTGCTCTTCTTGACCCCTAGTGCCCCACCCTAGACACACTAATAGCTCTCTATACCCCATTGCTCCAGTCCTCATAAAGAACATCCCAGTATTGGCCTCACCACCCTGATCTATTGTGTTTCTTTACTCTTTGTCCCCTCTATAAATTTTAAACACCTTCAAGGCAGAGCAGTATCATCATAATCTCTGCATTTTCTATACCTTGAACAGGCTTTAGGACAGAGAATTGCTCAGTAAATAATATAATTGATAAGGGTTTAATACAAGGTACATTGTGTTCTATTAGCAGTCAGTTCTTTAGGTTCAAGTTAGATTTTAGTCTTCTGTGTAGAGAAAGGATACATTTTGGTTTTTTACCTGTACGTGGTCTTTGTATAAAGATGCATATAACTCCTGTCCTCTTCTTCTGTAGTTCTCTATACATGACACAAAATCCTGGAGAAGAGACAAGACAAGTCACAGCTTAATGATAGTTGATTTTAGATTAGAATTTCTCCATTCCAGCTAATTGTCAGAGGAAATAATGGTTACAGGATTTGTTATCAGATACGTCACAACCACACAAATGAAGACTTCACCTCCACTGATATACTCACATATGAGCGCATTCGCATACATGTTTACATATTTGTGGGTTACTTCCACTTCCATTTATGATGAGCTAGCTTGCAGTAGCTCAACCCTCCTCCCAAGAATAACTACAAAAATTTCTAGATTTGAATAATCTGTCTGAAGATAGCAGAGAGCTACCAAGAGAGCTAAGACGTGAGAAGTCAAGATCTTGGAGCAAAGGAAAATGCACTGAGGTGTGCTCAATATGCTTTTTTTTTATTGCCCTTGAGACATTTGCAAATTTTCAAGTAGCACAAGAGGCTGAAAAGCTGAGCAAAAAGTAGTGGCTAAGAAGCAGGAAGCTTAACAGAGGTTTTGGCTGTCTTAGGTGGAGATCTTAGGGGAGATAAAATTACAGTCCAGGTCTACCAAGGCATCTATGACATAAGATGTCTAGAAAACAGGAAAAGCTTCCAGCAATCTCAGTTTGGAAAAACCAACAGGAGGAGGGCTTTATGGTGGGATCTCTAAAGGCCTGTGCCTTATGGATAAAGGAAGACTGGAAATAGATCAGGCCTTACGAGGCTGAATCCCACCTCCAACGAGCTCAATCCCTATTTGTATTACAGTGATCTGCCCCTACTCCAACTACATGCTAAAAGACAAAGACAGTCCTCTCTGGAAAAAAAAAAAAAAACAAACCTCACCTGGGGCCTCTATTCTAGAATCTTTATACAAAATGTTCAGCAGTCAAACAGAAATTACTTATTGTGCCCATAAAAAGGACCAATAGAAAAACAGACAATAAAACCTTACCCAAATGTATTCAGGTATTAGAGTTATCAGACATGGGACTTAAAATAATGCAACTAATATGGTCTAAAAAATACAGTATAGAGAATTCTGCAAGAGATGTATAATCTAGGAAAATTAATCAAATAAAAATTTTATATCTGTAAAATAAATTAATCGAAATTTTAAACTCTATAGATGGGTTTAACAGAATGAACAATACAAGAATTAATAAATGTGCAGAAATATCTTTGCTAAAATATGATGAGCTAAAAATACGAAAAATATGAAAAAGAAATAAAGACATATGTTGTAAGGAGAAAGAGTCCTGCATATGCGGTATTGGAGTCTCAAAAGGGGAGGAGAAAAGGAATGGATCAGAACGGGTCACAGGCAATCCATGAAAAGCTGATGGCTGAGAATTTCCCCTAACAGAGGAAGTGTATGAAGCTGCAGATTTGAGAAATCCTACATCTCTCAAACAAGAAAAATACAAACAAGACAACACATAAGCCCATCATAGTACAACTGTAAAAAAAAAAAAAAGACAAGGAAAAAATATTCAAAAAGACAAGGAAAACATATTCAAAAAGACAGAGAAAAACTCAGACTATCTTTAAAGAAGCAACAGTAAGAATGGCAGAGGCCAGAGGATAACAAACATCTTCAAGTGGTGAAAAAAGGCAACTGCCAACTTCAAATTCTCTACCCAGTGAAAACATCCTTCAAAAATAAAGGCAAAATGAACCATTTTTTTTTCTTTTTCTTTTTCTTTTTTTTTTATTTTTCTTTTCTTTTTTTATTTTTTTTCTTCTCTTTTGTTTTCATTTTTTATTTATTATTTTATTATCTTTTTTTCTTTTTTAAAAAAAGATGACCGGTAAGGGGATCTCAACCCTTGGCTTGGTGTTGTCAGCACCACGCTCAGCCAGTGAGCAAACCAGCCATCCCTATATAGGATCCGAACCTGTGGCCTTGGTGTTATCAGCACCGCACTCTACTGAGTGAGCCACGGGCCGGCCTAAAATGAACCATTTTCAGGTGAATAACACTGAGAGAGCACATCACCAGCAGCGCTGCACTAAATGACACACCTAAGGAGCTGTTCAGGCAAAATGAAAATGATTCTATATTAAAGCACAATACTGATAACTGAAAAGCTGTGGAAAGGCAAATATGTTAGTATATCTATGTAAATATCGACTTTTGGGAAACAATAATAATATCTAATGGGATTTGAAATACTGTACATGAAGAATTAAAATACGTGAAAAATAACTAAAGATGGATGAGATAAATGAAAGAAAGTATTCGAAGTTTCTTTAATTAAAAATTTGAAAAAAGAGGCTACTTTCCATTAGACTCCAATAAAGGAATTGTGCATGTTGTAATCTCTAGAATAATCACTAAAAACATAAGAAAAGAATATTTAACTTTCAGCGAGTAAAAGGTAAAATGGAATGATCAAATAGTTGACCACATATTGAAGAGGAGAAAAAGGAACAAAGAGAAGTTTTACAGACAGAAAATATGCATACAGATGGATTTGAACTCAAAATATCACTAATTTCTTCAAATGTAAATGAACTAAATGCCCCAAATAAAAGATAGACCAATTCAGAAGGTATCAAAAAGCAAACCCTGAGAAAACGCTGCTTATAAGAGACTCTCCTTGAAAATAAGGACACAGAACGTTGAGAGTAGAAGAATGGAAAAAGATAAGCTGTGCAAACCCTAACCCAAATAATCCGATAGCTATACAAATGTCACACGAAGTACACTTTAAGGCAAGTGTATTGGTCCATTTTTGTGTGTTGCTATAGCAGAACACCTAAGACTCGATGATTTATAAAGAAAAGGGGTTTATCCCGTTTACGATTCTGGGACAGCCGCCTCTTGTGAGGACCTCAGGCTGCCTCCCTTCCTGGCAGAGAGTGGAAGCAGAGCTGGTGTGTGCAAAGAGATCACGTAGGGAGAGAGGAAGCAGAGCAAGAGGTGGGAGGGGTGCTAGGCTCCTTCTAACAACCAGCTCTCTGGAAGTAACACAGCGAGAACTCACTCACCCCAGAGGGAAGGCATTAATCTATTCGTGAGGGATCTGCTCCCATGACCCAACCCCTCCCAACAGTGCCACGTTGGGGATCAGATTTCAACATGCATGTTGGAGGAGTACGATCCAAACCATATCAGCAAGAATTGTTACCAGACATAAAAAAAAGATGTTTGTAATGATGAAGTGGTCCATACATCAGCAAAGTATAAGTTCTAAATGTGAAGCATTGAATAACATTGCTCCAAAATATGTGATGTATAAAATGGCAGAACTAAAAGGAGAAATTAACAAATCCACAATCATAAAGGATGTTACCTCATCTTTCAGTAACCAATAGAACAAGCTGACAAGATAGAGATATAGAATATTTAAAGAACATATTAAGCAAACTTGACCTAAATCAAACATTTTTTTAAAAGTAGAGGTGAAAAAATGCAGAATACTCAAATGGAATCATTACCAAAATTGACTACATGATGGGACATGAAGCAAGTGTAAACTAATTTCAAATGATTGAAACAATAAAAAATATATTTTTGAACATAATAGAATTAAACTAGAAGCAATGTCAAAAAGAAAATTCTCAAATATTTAGAAATTAAGCAATACTTTTTAAGTAATCCATGGGTCAAATAGGAAATCAAAATGGAAATTAGAAAATATTTTTGATTAAATAAAAATGAAAACATGACATAAGGTAGCATATATAATATAACCAAAACTGTTTTTTTCTGGGAATACGTATCATTGTGAATGCTATTTATTAGAAATAAGTAAGCCTGTAAATTAATCTTATATTTGAAGAAGTTTAAAAATCAAATTAAACCCAAGGAAAGTAGAAGAAAATAAATAATAAAAATAGGAAAGGAAATTAGTGAGTAGAATATAAAAATAGTAAAAAAAAATTAAAGCCAAAAGTTGATTTCTTAAAAGGCTAATTACATTTAAAATCCCCAAGAAAGTCTAATATGAAAAAATGAAAATGGGCAAAAATTACCAGGAGCAGGAACAAGAAAAAAAGACATCATTACAAATCCCATTAACATTAAAAAAGTCATTATGAATAACATTATGTTAAAAAACTTGAAAATTTGAGTGAACAAGACACATTTCCAGGATAACACAACTTATCACTATTGATACAAAAAGAAATAAAAAATCTGAATTATCCAGCATCTATCACAGAAACTAAATTTATATATAAACCTCTTCCCACACAAAAAAATTTCCAGACCTGAGTATAAATGGGGGGCAAGTACTGGGGGATAAACCTTGAGGAAGAAAAACAAATTGAATTCAGCAATATATAAAAAGTATGATGTATCACCACAAAATTGGGTTCATTCCAAGAATTCAAGTTTGTGTTAACATTGAAAACCATTCAATGTGATATACCATATTTATGAGTTAATGGAAAAATATCACATAATATTCTCAAAAGACGTAGGAAAAACATTTCACAAAATGCAATTTTTATTAAGAATAAAAACTCTTAGCAGAATAGGAGTAGAAGAGAACTTCCTTAATCTGGTAAAAGGCATCTACGATGAACCTGCAGAAACGTCATATTGGCTTTTCCATGAAATCAGGAGTGAGATAAGAATGTCTACCACTGTTTCTATCCAACCCTTTAATGAGGATATTAGCCAGTGCTATAGAACAAAGAATAGAAGTAAATGATATAAGGTGTGAAAAGAAGAAATAAAACTAAAATTATTCACAGTAAACATTATTCTGTACATGTAAAATAAAAAATGCATAAGCTATTATAATTTTTAAAAACTTTAGCACAAAACCTAATCGTATTTTTATGTTAATGGTGATATAAAAAACAAAAATTGAAAATTATATAATATTTTCTGTAGTATTAAGAATATCAAATACTCAGAAATAATGTAATAAAGATGTTCATATTTCCTAACAAAAAAACCTATAAGTCATCATTACGAAAAAGGTAAAGCCCTAGCAAATAGAGAGATATACCATGTTCAAGGATTGAAAGACTCATTATAAAGATGTCACTTCTCTCCAAACTGAT